TTTTATAATCTTTCCTTATGCTTATTTACAGCTAAGCATTAGCCAAACATTTACTAAAGTTTTAGCTCTGTTATCTTCTTACTTTATTGTTACTTTAAAGCTTTCAGCACTATTTAGATAAATAAAAATTTAATTTTATTACTATAGGTCATAATTTGGCCATAAAACCATGAGTAGTATGATTATTTTCATTTGTGCGTTAGTATATATATATACTCATTAGTAATTTTATGTCGCACGTGTCACGTTGTTGTCATGAATAAACAGTGGAAAAAGACTAAGAGAACAGGTGGAGTAAAGAGAAAGATAAAAATGGAATACTCAAATTTTATATCTGGTTTAAGTAATGAAAAACGTGTTCCAAACAATGATACTCTTGATACACAAAATACAGAACAATCGGTAGTTGTGTATGAGCCAAGCACCGTTCAAGAAGTTCTAGCAAGTGGTTCCGTAGTACATTCAAGATTTGAAAATGAAAATTATTTTGCAGAAGTGTTATCAGAAGCTGGGGCCGGTATCTGTGTCGCTATGCTGCATCATAATTGACAATTCCTCGTCAGCATCTTCATAGGTTAAAAAACCCGTCCGTTTGACTTTACAAGGCAACACTGACCAATCTGCGCGAGGCTTGGAATTTTCATTCCTTACTAATGCAGACTCATTAGGTCTTTTTGGATATCGCAGTTGACGCTGACTTTCCCACCCGCTTGGAACAATAAACAGTTTAGTTGATCCCCTTTCGGTCGTTTGCACAATTTTAAAAGGCATCTGAAAAAAACAATTGAGCTTATTTAGGACTTAATAGAGAAGGTACTTTACCTTAAAACTAAATAAGTACCCGTATAACGCGTGCCCTTAAAACGTATTTACAAAAAGTTCCTTTAATTACAATGTGCGAAAAATAAGATTATAATATCGTGTTTCAATTCACTAGGTACTTTTATGTAGTGGCACGCTTAGCGTAGGAGTATACCTACCTTAGTAGGTAATCTACCTTATTATTCCTTTCCTATACACACTACAACTAAATTGGTACCTGTAAGGGATCGTGATCACGCCGGTGTTTAAATTAATTCAAAAATAAAATACACAATATTTAGCAAATGAGCGCGCGTCGTCACAGGGACAGGAATCAAGTACTACTAATGAATAGAGGTCGTTCTCTTGGTGCAAGTGACGTCGCGTTTTGTAGGGATTGTTGTTTTATCGACTTTAAGTCGCACGTCCCGTTCGTTCTATTCGGGCACATGATTCAGGGAATTCCCCAACTCATTTATTGTGATAATGATTTTATACTTACACTTGGCAAATTATCTAACTGGAGACAGATAAAATATGAAAGACGTGGAGTAGGGTATCATGTAATTAAGGGATTCTAAATTATTATTTCGGTACCCTGATTAACACTATAGCAATCCATTTTTATGACGTATAAGGGTAATAAACATTATAACATGCCTAAAAAGTGTTACTATAATGCTAAAGATATCACTTAGATATTTTTTATGTAGGTTGAATGACTTAAGCTATTTTTGTATACTATAATAAGACTGGCAACATTAAAAGACACTAGTTGAAAGTTTAGAACATTAATATTACATGACGCCATTTGCTTTCTGTTTTCTCGAACATAAAAAATAAAATTATAACACACATATGAATGAAATACTACTTATTATGTTTTTCTTATAAGCGAAGTATCGATAGAAACAATTTTATACGTTAAAATTAATGAAATCGTTAAAAAATTACAAAAGGTCAGCTGATGTCGATTCTAAATTTGTCCCTATTTTTTATTAAAAAGCATTTCTATGACGGCGCGTGAATTATAAGCCACAAACATATATATATTTTCACATAAGACTAATACCCCCAACTCATTTGCATTCAAAACAAAATAAAATTGATGTTTGTCTTACCTTATGATAAATTATTTTCAATGAAGACACATTAAAACGTCTCCGCACAACACCAATGCACTGCACATTGCAATACACTAAACGAAATATATATAATCAATTCGGACATATAAGTTTCGATAAGTTTTTTCAAATATTTTTATACAAAGAAAATAAAACGTTCAGCCTTAGAATAAAACGTAACTTTGGCATTGTAATTCAAAAAGCTGTATAAAAGCTGTACTAACATCTAAAAAAATGCTTTTTACATTAGAATATGCTGTCTCACAACTTTACTAATGTCTGTATTCAATAACATTATAAGCGCTGGTTAGCAGCACTAATAATATTTAAAAATGCTCAAAGCCGTATTATTTGGGGCCCAAATTGAGCTTATATGACACTTATAAACTTATAAACGGCTGATATAGTGCTACATATGCTGCTCATATACTGTTTTGCACGTAAGTCCATGCTGTTGTACGCTTCTTATAATGTTGTTTTGTGTTACTTGGGTAAAATGGCCTACTATGTTACTACTACTATTCGCAACGTACTCAGGATGTTGTGAACTAATTTTCGTGAGAAAAATGAACAAAATATATATACCTGTCATACATTTCTTTAAAAAATCTGTGGCGCTACAACCTTTTTAGGTCTGGGCATCAGATTTCTATATCTCATGATTATTTGTCAATCTAATAAGCAAGTAGGTGATCAGCATCCTGTGCCTGACACACGCCGTCGACTTTTTGGGTCTAAGGCTAGCCGGTTTCCTTCACCGTTCGAGCGAAAGTTAAATGCGCACATATATAGAAAGTTCATTGGTACACAGCCGGGAATCGAACCTACGACCTCAGAGATGAGGGTCGCAGGCTAAAGCCACCAGGCGAACACTGCTCTTTATGCCATATATTTATAAGATACTATTATATGGAACAAGGGTAAATAAGTTCTCGGATTATGTTGAAGAAAATGTCGTTTTGTCGCAGTCCTATTTGAACCCTAATATCTTATAATAGTAAACAAATATGCAAACAATAGAAATCTGTTTACTATCAAAGATACTGTTAGATCATAGCTGAAGTGTGGCCAAGTACTTTAAACATTTACGAAAGTATATTTAATTTTAATAATGTCTCTCTAAAGATATTTTTACCTGTCACTAAACATGTTATTTGATTATGCTCGTAATGGTTTTTTTTTCATTCTTTTGGTCAATTAGGCAGAAGTATAATAGTTCCCAAAAGCGACGTGTGTGGTCTGAAGTATAATAGCGACTAATTTATGGTTTATAAAAAATGGTTCTATCCATAAACGTTCTATAAGCCTTAATTAGTTTGCATCGTTTATTTATTTAATGCGAATATATCGAATATCGAGAAGAGACAAGAAATTTGAGAATATAAAAACTGTTATATAGGTACATATCTTTGCAAGTAACTAACTATAGCATGTAGTTCGCTGAGCTCATGCCACTTATATGAACTTTGTTTCATCATAATTATGTATTTATTACCATAATTAAATAATTATAATTTCTCACGTGGCAAAAAACCCGAGAGACCGTGGATGTCTTGGTGGAAGTTGGACCTGGTAATAATATGTAAAATAAATCAGTGGCGCTACAACCTTTTTAGGTCTGGGTCTCAGATTTCTGTATTTGTTTCATTTGTTAATCTAATAGGCAACTAGGTGATCATCCTCCTATGCCTGACATTCGCTGTCAACATTTTGGCAACGCAGGGCGGTTTCCTCACGATGTTTTCCTTCACCGTTCGAACGAATGTTAAATGCGCACATAGAAAAAAAATCCATTGGTGCCTGGGATCGAACATACGACCTCAGGGATGAGAGTCGCACGCTGAAGCCACTAGGCCAACACTGCTCTAATATAATAATATAGATAATAATAGCGGTGGTGTAAATAGAAGGAAGCTAAGGAATATAAGCTGCAGTACAATTGATGGTGATCATCACTTACATAAGATAAGCGACGAGGGCGAACATCTCGTTCTCAATAGAAAGTAGTTCTGCATCACAACACTGAAATAGTCAATTGTCAAGTTAAATGAACCAGAGTACAATGGGCTTCAAGGTCAACAAACGCAAGCTTTTATCATTCAATTGAAGCCATTTTACATCACTGATAGCGCGACTAATTGAAAAGTTACGAAGAGAAAAGGACATTTGTTTTACAGTGGCTTAAGTTAGGTAACAATAGTGGTGACCGGTAGTTATTTACAACACTACACTTTATTTCAACATTATTTGTACGGTCATTATTCACTATTATGGATGTATCTTTTCTTTTCTTTAAAGTGTTTTAAAGACAAGTTGACTACTACGCCTATAAAATTGCGCTTAGGAATAGAAACAAGAATCCCACACACGATGTTATATTCCGACAAATAGTGAATGTTATTTGAGTAAAATATTTGTCCATAGGCATATATGCGAATATTAAAGGTTGTTAGTTCTGTAGTAGTTTCGTATCGTAATTTAACATGTATGAACACGTACCGTTTTCTTTATGGCTCATGCCAAGGCTGTACATTTTGCTCATTCAGGCTTTCTTAGTTTTATAAGCGTGGCGATTAACTTAATCATGGGAGTTACTCCCCGAGAGTATAGCCAGACGTAGGCACTCGTTACATAGCAATTAACATTTCATTATTTCGCATATATTCTATTGTTGTATGCGAGCGGTTAATATAGAGTAAAACAAAAATCTTCTATTATTTAAAGCACCTTGATGACCCAGGAATCGTACAGTACGGTCTATATGTATTAGACTTTAACTATTCCTCAGTTCATTGGTCTTAATTGACACAATTTTTAATTAATGATTTTACTTGCTGAGCTCAATATAAAAATATGTATCAATTATAGTCGACATTCTTGAATGTATTCAGAGCTATTAGTTGATTTATAACATGACTCACGACTTCCCCAAACTAGGTTAATTCATTCTATGGAAAACTGTGTTGATGGTACCATTCGTTTTTACGTTTTCGCGATTCTAACAATGCGTTTATTTTCTTTACAGACAAAATGTAGATAGAAAAAGTAGGTCGCGTCTACTTTTACTAAAGTACGATGTCTGTTGACCAGGCGTCCCCATTGGTGCCGATCAAACCTCAGATCGCGTTGCAGAACAGTGCGTTTATAAAGAACAGTCATAATCGAAGTAGCTTCTGCGGGGCTACGCCATCCCCGACGAATGGGAACAGAACATTCAAAACTTTCGCCGTAAATCGAAAGAGTTGGAGTGGAAACGTAAGTCTTCCACTCCAGCAGTTCCTAGAGGAGCCTCCGCAGTTGGGTACGTTCCGATCGGGAACGGGAACTTTCCCTAGAAATCGGGAGCGAAACAATAATACTTCAAATGGAATATTAACACCTAATGGGAACGTGCAGACGTTTAAAGGAAATGAAGTGAGAAGGAGCGGATGCTCTAACGGCCGACGGTACGCGGAGATCGGAAACTGGAACAAAAGGTGAGTCTGCGAAGTTATATTTCATTATTTTAACAAAGGGTTGCTATGCTAGTTCTGAATGATATGCTAATCTAAAGGAAGTGAACATAATAAGTGTATGTTATCTGCCTACATAAAACGTGCTGTATTTACTGTACAGAACAAGTTTTGTATTATTAAAAGAAACCTTTTTCAAACCATACTGTAATCCGTGGAAACTGACTCAATCTATCTGTAGTATCATAAACATTTATGAGGATATTTAAAAAAAGTTATAATGTTTCAATCACTAAACAAGCAAATAATTTAGCTGGCATAAAAAAGTATTTTGTTTTAGATGACGGCAAAGAGAGCTTTCCTTAATCAGAAACGAAAAAATATCATAAATTCATCCCCAGGTAAACAAGAGTGGCTAAACGGGGCACGTAGCTCCAACTTTTCTAGGGTTATTTATTTTCTTTTTCATCTCAAGTAATTTTGTAACAAGTTTTCCAATTTCATTCTCTCGTCGCTTTCATTTCCTCCCGTTTGGGTCCCCTTAATAATACTTTTATTAGCTGAATCGCTTAACAAACATTGCTTTCTGAATTTGATAAAAAATTTAATGTGGGTTATAAATAATATGCCGTCTTGACTATGAAAGCCATAAATTAAATCAACCGTAATAAACCGGTGAGTTCTAAATGATTGAGATTGAAACTAGTTGAAACTTGTATTGATTTATCGTTACGTAACTTAGTCTTCATTGCGCTCCAATGTTTACATCTAATCCTACTCATTATCTTTATTCGCAATAGAAAGTTTATCCATAATTCCTCCACTCAATTTGGGGCAGGCTTAGTCGATAAGACTATCTTATTATCAGCCTCTTAGTACTTCGGGTTTTTATTATATAAACTTTATCGCGGACGTCACTAACAGCCTTTATCGCCCTGTTTAGTGGTTTCCCCCTCGCAAGTATTTGTGTGTATAGAATGTTTGTTAGTTTTTATATATTCAATGGCTTCAAGGTTGTGTGAATCTACATAAGCTATTGTTTTCGACGCGTTCTATAATTTGGCACGTATACCTTGAACATAAAACCTACACCATTGTTGTAGCTATATATAATTCTATTTATGAATAATAATATCGAAATCACAGAGGCGACTAACATAAGATTATGTACCCATATAAAAAAAATTAGCAGCATTAAGAAGAAGACAATTATCATGTGAAAACTACATTAAAATTTTGCTTCTTAGTAAACGTGTTCACTAGTATCGACAATGATGATAATGCTCGCGTAAAAGGACAATCTTCTTACTTAAAAGCTTTGTATTTTTCTTTACATGCTCTGTACTGCATTATATTGTGAGCGACTGTTCAAAGTACGTACAGTTACAGATAAATCTTTCCGTAACAATGAAGGCTATCTTAGTTCTGTGCACCGCTGGAACCGTTGTTTTATGCAATTTCATTGTCTTTGCCGTGCCTCTGTTAATAAGCGTAATGACTCTTCCGTTATAGGAGGTACATTGAAGTAGATTTGTATATTTCCTATCATTGTAGTTAGAAATTTATGGCATGCACAATTAACAATTTATTCGAATATACTTAAATTTAACATACAAACCAAGCTTGGATGATTTCAAGTAAAAGACTTAATAATTGTGGCTGGTTTTTGAAAGCTGGTGGGGTAAAACTGGTGGTTGAAGTGGTAATCGTATAAATTAGATAAACGTACCAAAAAAGCCACAAACAGCTAATACCCGTTTATTACACTCTTTTATTTCGCCAATATATATTAACACATTTACCTGATTAGGTTATGGTACATCTAAAATACATAAATGCTATAGCGTGAATCTATCTAGCTATATAATAAAATTATGTTTACATAACTGAGTTCAAGAGCCTTAGTTCTTTCTAACTTCAGTACTCACTAGTAATTTTTCATATATTTTTTCCAACCAAAGTAGCTTAGGATAACATACGACATTATAATGATTGTAAGATTGCAGATGGATGATGAAAGTGAAAACGCAATGTAACGCTGTCATAGGAAATACAATTTCTCGGCAGTTGCTATGATTGAGTAGAAACTTTATATTTTTCTCGAAGGAAAGTTCTATCAATTCTAATGTGTTTGCAACATAAGCACGTAAACTATCCGATCACTTCGGTTAGTTTACTAACTTGGTCAGATGATTATATATTAAAGAATCATCATTTAAAAAAAACAATGCTCCAGCGCAATTAAAAATTATATGACGAAAATTTACATTTTCACGGCAATATTTTATATGAAAACATCCGTTACACCTATGAAAATAAACTTTATAAATAATGGTTATTTATTCACGCAGGCCTTATGAACAGCACTGCGGTTCCTAACATCTCAATTTATCCCTTCCGAGTATATCATAAAAATGCTTGCACGTTGAACGAAATCAAGTTAAATTAACGCATCGCTTCGTTGCCTTCTTGATTATGAATCATCTGAGAAAAACCGCAAACTTTTCATGTTTCAGTGAAAGCGATACGAAAAACCACATTCAATTTTACAATTTGTTTTCACTTTAACCGACAGAGGATTGTCAAAAAAGTTTTGACCGCAGGTATCAATTTTGCGATACTTTTTTGTTTTTGTCCATTTGTAAACGTTTCAAATGTAAAAAAAATTTACGGAAATAAAGTTGAGCAACTATACAAGCGTTTTTCAATATATAATGATTGATAGCTTTCACAATCAACCGTCACTTATTTTCAATTATTATTATTTTTAATATTTCATAAAACAATAACAGTATGTGTAAATAAATAGCATATTTATAAATAGACAAAAAGTTATTTTCTCCAGTACGAGTATCAATTTAAATATCTGGTCTTATTCACAAAGGCTGCGGAAAATAATTTTCCGACAAAGGGGCATCTTACACTATTCATAAAGGAATTCAAAGCCCCTTTTCATGGACCTCCGGGCTATTACATTCCCCTGAGTGACATCGCCCACATACACTGTTTCTAGTTTAATTACTTTTAAAATATTTGGCGAATATAAACATTAAGTATTTATTGCTTATTTTTAAAATACATTTAATCTTTAAAATATCAGTTACAGTAAAACCATCTTTTTAAGGATGCTATTTTTGAATTAAGTGTGTATGTTAATACCAAAATTTCAAGTATTTGTAGTTTAGTCAGATGAATTAGTCGGAACAAGTAGATTTATGTAGATTATATATTTTTCATTGATAAGAATTCCAATCCATTCCTTAATGTTTATTATAATAATAAAGTTATTTATAAACAGAAGTCACACACACCCCGATACTGAAACTTATTTCATGCTCCGCAACGGCATGTTGACGTCTTTTCATTTAAGTAATTCAAAAATTATTTTAAATTATTTGACTGTGTGACATTCTCACTACGATAGACGTAATGAAATGAAGATGGACGGGTTATATGCTACGGAGCCCTAATGGAAAATTGAGAAAAATATTGACGGAATAGTACCCTAGAGACGGAAAACGAAGAAAAGGCCGACAACGCAACGCAGGCTACATCTGGAGAAGAGTCGCAAAGGATAGATAACAGTGGAAAGGGTTAGAGGAGACCTTTGCCAAGAGGCACATCGAACTCCGAGATATACTGTAGTGAAAATATATTAAAGATCACAGATCACAGAGTTTCGGAATATACAGGCTTTATTATTAAGTTTTTAGACTTCTGCGCCTACCAATTCGGAATATTGATTGATTACCGTGTGGTTGACGCACATCATTAATCATCATAACGTTGATTTTATAATTATAATTTTTACATTTGAAATATAAAGATATACTATAACAAGTAACAATAAAACGTTTCCAAAGCATATCTCAACACCGCACTGATTTGCAACTAGAAATGTGACTAAGGATAATATTCGGTACATTGAACACCACCTACGTGGCATCTAAATTGAAACCTTTGCCGGCATTCCTTGGATAAGGAATTATTGATCTTTGGTTTTGTATTGTTGTTCGTATTCAGGAGGTTGTCTGTCGTAAATATTCCCTCGCTCATTATAATTTTGTCTCAGATATCCCACGGGATATTGCTAATTTACTTAATGGTACTCGATCGGTTAATAATGGTAATATTTGAAAAAAAAAACCGGAAATTTAATTATGTCTATATCAAGTTACATTTAAAGGAAATATTATTAAAACAAAATTAGGGCAACAATGATTTCGAAATTATAGTATTTCTAAAGACGTATTTATTTAAATTAACTGGAGCCGTTAAGCAATATGTACAAGAAAAAGTTTATCATTAAACCGCCTCTAATAACGGACAATCGACATTCTTAATTTTTTAACTTAAATTGACGTTAACCCAAAAATGCGCCATACCCAAACAATAGTATATATATATATATATATATATCAACAGTTTTATTATATGGTTTTTTATACAACAGGGGGCAAACGGGCAGGAGGCTCACGTGGTGTAAAGTGACACCGCCGCCCATGGACACTCTGAGTGCTCAGAGTGCTCGCGAGTGCGATGCCGGCCTTTTAAACGGCCGCTTTGCCGTGTTCGTAATGACACTATCACAAGACAAGAGATATTAAAGAAATCATATTCTCTATGATAATTAATGTTTTTCAACGAATGATGTTGAAACGAAATTATAAGTCTGCGTGCGTGATTATTATCAATTCAGGATCAATTTAAGTGTTGTGAAAACTTGAGTTGACAGATACATATTTTGTTTCGCGAGAAACTCGACACTATGCCGACGGCACGCTACGACTACAATATAAAGTATGAAAGCCCCTTAACCCCTCCGGTCGTGTACGAGGACATAGTATTTATTTTAGGTGTTTTTCTTATGAAAGTGATCAGCTATTTTGTCCTTTAAAACAGAACCTTTTTAACCAGAGATATAAAAAGACAAGCCAATTTCAAATATAAAATAAGTAATGATATCAATTAATACCGCAACCGATCAGAAAATTCAAAGATACTTAAAACATGTCAAATATAGCTAAT